CCCCCCCCCCCCCCGCACATTGACTGGCCGGGGGACTCCCATGTTTCTTAACCGGCCGCCAGGAAACCCCTGGACTAAAGCATAAAAGGATCCAGTAGCTGGAAGATGAAGTTATACAAATTTAGACCAGAAATAAAGTGCTTTTTTTCCCCTTTTCTTTTTTTTTTTATTAATAAGGGTAGCTTAACCAATGGAACAACCCACCAAGAGAAGGGGAGAGTCATTATCACTAGACATCTTTAAATTGAGAATGGATGCCTGTCTAAAATATATTTGGGCTCAGCTAGATGTTACATGCTTAATGTGGAATCATTAAATAAAATTCATTACCTATGATATGCAGGGAGGTCAGACTAATGTATCATAGCTTCTGAAGCCATGTAGATGTGATCTTTGTCTCAGAAAATTTTCTATGTAAGTTCACTGTTTTGTTATTTCTAGGTGTTCCTTTCCCAAAGAACTTCATGTCTGTGGCAAAGACCATTCTAAAGCGTCTCTTTAGAGTTTATGCTCACATTTACCACCAGCACTTTGATCCTGTGATCCAACTGCAAGAAGAGGCACATCTTAACACATCCTTCAAGCACTTTATATTTTTTGTTCAGGTAAGTTAGCACATGGTCAGCTGAGTCAAGATTGCCTTCTACTGAGGAAGGGATATATTAGAAATGGTGATTATAAAATCTGCTCTTTTAAGCTTTCTAGCAACTGATATTAAAATACCTTATTGGTATTCTTATCCATTCTTACAAAAAGTTATTACTATATGTTTTTTATTTGGTTGGTTGTTTTTTTTTAAATCAAATTAAAACTTAACTTGTAGCCAGTAGAAGAGGGGAAATTGAAACCAGGCAGCAAAGAATGTATTTATTCAAATGCTATTGGAAGAAAGAACAACCTCTTTAGGGGGGAAAACCTTGTCTTGAGTTGCAGTTGGGTGAGATTTTTATGCAGAATACAATCCTGAGCCCTGAAGAAAATATCAGTATGATTTTTGGTTGTGAAGTAAAATATTTTAGATTTTGTAATATGGGTGCTTGTCCATGAGGCACCTGAGTACAGATACCAATCCTTTTTACACAGGCTAGTAAACAGCACTCAGATGGTAATAATATTTAGTCATGGTGACCTAGATTGGATCTGAACTAATGCCCTAGAAGTAAAACGTTGGCTATGTTCTACCTTAACTTTATGGATTCAATTTGTTAGTTGACAATCATTAACAGGTAAAACTAGACTTGAAGGCCTCAAACTGCAGAGTAGCTTTATCTAAATAAAATTCCTACTGTATATGTGAAATGTTATTAATGCTACATTAAAATGGAAGTAAATTTTGTGTGGTTTTTTTTTAACCTTTAGGAATTCAACCTTATTGACAGAAGAGAACTTGCTCCACTTCAAGAATTGATTGAAAAACTCACCTCTAAAGATAGATAAAAGGAGGTGGATTTGTGCAAACCACTTGTTTCTTTAAGCAAGCATGTGATATGTTTTGGGGTCTTTTTTTTAAACAAAACAAACTTTGTTCTGTTCTTACAGGCAGCCAAGATCAATTCTCTGTGCTTTTATTAGGGGAAATCTTTTTGTCTTTTAGTGACACACAGTAAATGGCTTTTTTTTTTGTTTTATTGTGGATTTTTAACACATGTTGAGTGTTTTATAAAGGAAATATTCTTTGGTGGGGAAATTGACACTGCTGGTGGATGGGTCTGTATTGTGTCAATTGTAGCCCATTCTCATGAAGTCCCTAGAAGACTTACATTCTCTAAGTGCCTTGGCAGACTCGCTTCTGAGGTGCAAAGCACATACCGTACTGAACGTTGCTGGAAACAGAATATATGAACTAATACCCAGGACACTTACTGATGCTTGTTTTAGAATTTATATATATCTATATCCTTAAACTAAAAAAGCCATAACATACACAGGTGATCTCCAGCTTTTAATACAAAGTATTCTTTTTTTATTTTAAGAGATGAATATGCAGCTACTTGAAACTAAGTAGATCGTGTCCTAATAATCTAGTTGAAGTCATAAAGGTTTCAAAACTATAGAGAACCCAGGATGACAGAGGGCCAGCTATCCATCCCACTGTTTTCATCTCTGAGGTACATATTTATTCTGTTACTGTAAATATCAATTCAGGCCAGTCAGTTTTATAAAGTTAAACACTTCCCTCTATAAGGCTTCGTAGCATTTGTCAGATGGGCCATGAGTTTGCACAAATATTTTCAGTGAGAAAAGAAAATACACTTCTTCACCATCAAAAATGACAATTTGGTAATACTAAGAAAGGTATTGTCTGAAATCCACTGGAGTAATGAAACACAAAATTAAAAATAAAAAGTCAACTTTATGGTAGAACTCAAGTTCTCAGGCTTTTTCACAATGAAGAACATATACATTAATAGAAAAAATGTCTTGTGGACTATGTCCCATTTATAATCGCACACATTCCCTCCCTTTCATTATTGCATGACTTCTTTTGGCAACTACATCACTTGTTTACATGGGGAAAGTAATGGTTGCAGTGCATTGGTGTACTTTTATCAGTCTTTAGTCTTTCTGAGAAATATTAATCACAGCATCTCCCTCTCTTTCCCCCTGCATGCCCCACTCTGCTTTATTTCTCCCTTGCTCCATTGCCTTTCCCTCCCTCTCTGGCCTCATTTCTCTCAAAGTGGAAATAAGGAGAGCCAGTACTGCATGACTTGCCAGTTTCCATGATGGTCAACAATTACATGGAAATCTCTGTCATATTTATGTGAAACTCTGGAGTTTCCCCCTCCTCACAAATTTAATTTTTTTTTGTTTTTAATTTGTGCATCTTCCATTCTGTCAAGATTTATACTAGCCTTTGGGTTCAAATAAATATTTAAGCACTGCCATCTGTCCCTTCCCCCCAGCCCTTCCCAGTATCATTAATATAATTGCCTTAAAGTGGTCATGGTGTAGCAGCAGATGAAACCTGAGTTTTGCAAGACCACAAATTTTCATTAGTTTTAGTGTAAAAACATATATTGACCCACATACATGAGAACTCTTGGTGATCTTTCGCTGAGCCTGAGTTTAGTTTGTGATGGAGGACAGCAGTAGTGCATGTCTTTTTAAGTTATCGTATAGATATTCTACATAGTTCTTTGACATAGTCTTGACTTTGGTTAGGAAAAGACACAATTATACATGCGAGTAGTCAGCAAAACGTATAACTGACAGCTTAGTCTGCATATAAAAATAATAAACTCTTAGACTGTGGCTATGTTTTCCAAAACTGAGATGGGAAAATTCCACTACTTAATATTGCTCCTTTTTGTAAAATCCAGAGTTTAAAAACAAAATATTTCCTTTTCTCTTTCTAAACAAATGTTGTCCACCAACTGGGTGAAAGGTTTCTAATTCATCAAAAGCGGATATTAACTACATCTTCCTTCTCTGATTACCAGTATGTGGTCTTATAACTGAAAATGGCTCTTGAGAGTTCAGCTACGCACTAGAAAACTCACATACTTAATTGCTTTTCAATCATAGGAAAACTCCAGGTTTCCTGTTAGATGTTATGAAGTGGCAAGAGAAGCTTAGGTTAGCCAATGTTCATAGTGCTGCTCAACACTGATTTTGTTAATGTGACAGAGTGGATTTTGGCCGCCCCCCCCCCCCCCC